GTCTGCGAAGAAAAAAAGACATAAGGCTCAAAAAGGCACAAAAGGATATGTGAGGGTCATGTCCCTTCAATTTCTTGAATTATTGGACCATCCGAACCTTATTTAAGTCTTCATGTTCTTTAGACCGAGATTTTGTGACCATCAATGTAACCGTCTTCTCCTCTGTAGTACGCCCGTTTTCCAACCGCCCATGCCTGTTGTATCTTAGGCCACAGCGCCATCCGAGCCTCCCTGTCAGCTTTGCAGAGGTCTTCAATAAATCCAATCCCCAGTTCTTTGCAAATGGAGGAATCCTTGGTCATCTTCCACAGTGCGTCATGGTGTAATCTTTGTGTGAACTGGACGAGGACATGCCTGGTTCTTTTCTCCTCTCTTCTCCCTAGCCGATGAGCAGAATCCACAATATGGTTGATGTTCGGAGCCCATTCAGGTGAGATTTTTTTCAGCAAGTTTGCTATCATATCTCGCATGTCTTCTCCTTCACGTTCCTTTAATCCTTTGACTCTGAGGTTCCATCGGCGTTTGTACCTCTCTAACTCCAGGACACTTTCCATTAACATGGCATTATCCTTTTTATTGACTGTTACCTCTCGCTCCATGGTTTGTAGCCGCGTTTTACATTCTTTGATCTCCGTTGCGTTGAACTCCACCGCCTTAGCCATGCTAGCGAGCGTATTGGAGTTGTGACTTGGCATGCCGAGGCCCTCCACTTTATCTGTGAGCTTTTTTATCGCTTCAAGGATGGCCTTCGTACCTTCATCTGTAGTCTGGTCCTTCATTTTGGAGGTTGGTTGGTTCTTTGCCGGAGAGAAGGGTTCTTTCCTTTTGAGGCTCTCAGCCGAAGTTTCGATCTTTGCTGCGTAGTTGTGGTGGGTAGCGGCCGTGTCACGGCTTGAAGACGGTTTCATGGCTTAACTCTTTCTTATCAATGAATTTCACAATGACATAAGGCTTGAAATATCTGGTGAATATAGCTGGATGGTCAAGTTGTTGAATAACTGGGTTAAATAGATCGCGTTCAGAATTTGTGATGCACCCGCTCCGCCATTTTGCCCCGGAATCCATGTAACTTTAGTTAAATCGACTTTGACCAAATTGCGATTTCTCGATGGCAGCGGACTGAAAACCGAGGGGAAAACGCAACTCTCACTCTGATTGGTTGAGCCTGTTGTCATGGAAACCAGAGCCGACCAATGACAGCCCTCCCTCTGTGGCTCCTCCTTTGCCCCCACCCTTGCCCTCATCCCCTGCTCCACTCCCCTCTGCAGATACACACAGCTGCAATTTGCAACACACAACCTGCCAAAAGTGTTTCAAAAGTCAGACTCGCGAGAGGAGAGTTGTGCGCTTGTAAAACAACAACTGAGCATGCGCAGAAAACGTATTTGAGAAGTTGTATTTACTGGGTCGCAGAAGAAAATTTTACACATGAATTTATTTTGTTTCACATACAATTTACTTTTTATTACAAGTACCATTTATCTTCACAATTGCACACATGTTGATGTGCAGCTTCTCACGTTTTAATGCACAGACACTCACCTCAAAACTTCAAGCTCACATTTTACGGTACACACACTCACATCCAATCTTCAAGCCCCACACTGTGTTGTACGGCGGACTCAGACAACACATTTACAAACTTGTGCATTTTGACACATATTAATCGTGAAAATAGTTTCATAAATCAGATGTGTGAGAGGAAAGCTGTGCAATTGTAATAAAAAAGTTGAGCGTGTGCAGAAACAGATCTGTACACTTGTGTTTACAGACTTGTAGTTGAAAATGTCACACACAACTGTATTTTATTTCACATGCATGTGAGTGTTTCTTACAGGTACACATTTAGCTTTACAGGTTTATGGGTGTTGGTGTACAGCTCCTCACACTGTACTGCACACACACACACACACACACACAGTTTTCAAGCACCCATCATGTAGTACAAATACACACAACAGATCTACAAGTTTGTGCTTTTTGAAACAGAATGACCTTCATATGTTTCATGCACTCTGGTGCTGTGTCAAAAGGAACTGTGGAAAAGGCTGAATAACCTTGGAGGAATAGCTCCTTCATCACGTTACATACACAAGATTATCTATATGGGACTTGAAGGAGAGGGAGTCATCAAGTATCTTAGGTCCTATAACATTTTGTGTCAAGACCTCTCATTTTTTCCAGTAATCTGATGTTTTTCTTGTAGGAGTCAAAGGTCAAAATGTTTAGAGCGATGGCCAAAATAGAAGCCATTCCTCCTGGTTGTTATTTAAAATATGTTAATTTAGCCTTTTGTCTTCGTCCACCCAGCAGGTTTCTACTTTGCTTATTTTTAGAATTAAAAGACAAAACCATTTGTTTTGGTCATCTCCTGGTTGACGTAAACAGCTGAGTGAATGGAACATTCAGTGCATAAAATATGGATGAAGCAGGTAAATGACAAGGATGTTTTGATAAACGTTCTGATTACATATAACTTATTCTAGAAGTAAAATAGGTATTTTTGTTTCTCTTGGTTTTAGAAATGCTTGAAAATATGTGTTCAGTGTTCAATACTTCCAATTATGTCTGTTATTTTTCTGGGTTTAACTTGGTGGTCTAAATCAGGAGTGTCAAACTCAAATTCACACTGGGCCGAAATGAAAAACTGGGACGAAGTCGCGGGCCAAACTCAATATATTTTTTAAAGTGACTGCAATGTGCACATTTTCCTTTATCTACAGGTATGTATGGTTGAACCTTTTCATTTGGAAATAAACTTATTTTTGCAGTAACACTGAATCTGGAATAACCAAATTACACATGAGCAAATCAATTTTAAATAAAGCACGTCGGTGGTATTTGTTACTTATTATGTCTCAATTCTTTTAAATATTTGTATTCCTTAAAATGTGTATAAATTCAGAATTTCTTTTTTTATCTTTTGAATCTTTTAAGTATTTCTATTTTATATTTTCTTTTTATTCTTATTTTTTACTCTCCTTTAATGAATGTTATTGCTCCTGTGACACCAAGCTTTCACCACTGAGGGACAATAAAGGGATGTTCTATTTATTTCTATTTTATTCTTCTATCTGTAATGGTTCCAGCTCCTGTTTTAAAGCAGGTGAAATCGTTTTTCACAAGCCAACAACAAAAATAAATAATAATAATTCTCTTAAATGAAAATGGAATCTCACCTATTACCTTTCATGCGTTGGAGCAGAAAAAGTGCATGAAATCAAAATAATGCAAGCTCAGTTTGCTCCAGTCTAATTTACTGTGATGCTCACCTTTTCAGCCAGAAACTCCTGCATCTCTGTGGTTGGCTCTAAGCTGATGAAGGAGTTCATCAGTGAGACTCCTGTGTTGTCTAGTTCATCTTCATCAGACCACAGTTGCTCACATAAGTTTGTGCTGCTGAACATGGAGAGTATCTGAGCAGCTGGATCACACAGTTGTGTCAGTGTGGAAAGATATACACTACAGCAGCCACAGAGTCATACTGACTTGAGAGTGTCATTAAATCATCTTGGTCTGGAAGGTCGGTGCGCTTTCTGTCAGCAGCAAACAGATTACTGAGCGGTTAAAATCCCTTTCTGGGCTTCAAAGTCGGCAATTTGCTGATTAAACTTGGCGCTGAGTAAATGGAGTGTTTTCAGTTTGTCCGAGGCAGAGGAGGTAACGCTGCAGATGCTGATGCTAGTAGCATGGGCGCTAATGACTATAAAAATACCGATTTTTCTCCTTGAAGCATAAGCATGTTCCATCTTTGTTGAAACATCCTTCCTTCTGCATCAATCTTCCTTGACATTTTGGGATAATTTGTGGATAGTTATTTTCACTTGTTGCATTAAGTAAACACGAATTTGGATACACTGTAACCTAGTGGCGAGATACTGCAACTGCACTGGGAACACAATCATCATGCATTATCGGAAATGTAGTTTATATTCAATATATGCTTTGAAACGGCATAGACCCATTTTGAGACACTTGTGTCTGACACATGTGGTCTAAATGATTTGGTTCCAGCATATCTGGCAGACACTGCATTTGTATGTTCCCTCTTGGGCACTCCGTTCAGAGGACCTGTCCTTGTTCGTGGTACCCCGGTCACGGCTAAAGATGTGTGGAGACAGAGCCTTTTCAGTTACAGCTCCTAAACTATGGAATGAGCTTCCATTACACATTCGGCAGTCCTCTTTTCTACCAGTTTTTAAATCCAAGCTGAAGACCTATTTTTATGAACTGGCTTTTAAATCTGTGTGGGTGATTGACTGTGTTGCTTTTTAGTCTAATTTTTATTTGGTTGTGTTTTGTTCATTTTTAGTGGATTTCATGTGCTTTGTTTTCATCTGTAAAGCACTTTGGTGGCATGTAAGTGTCTGTAAGGTGCATCATAAATAAAGTTCGTGTTGAGTAACCTGCTCTTACCTTTTCTTACTATGGTTTCCTTATGGAGCTACTTTAGGCATCCCAGTTGATGAATGAGATGAGGCCAAACTACAGTGTATAATTATGCATCAAGTGGCCTCAAGAGAAGCCCGTTTTGTCAGACAGATTCCTCCACACCTCCAAGACCAAACCACAGACAACGCTGAAATCAAGGCGCTGTCTCCTGGCATCTATGCTGACCTATACCTCCAGCTCAGACAGATCCCGTCATCTCCATCATCAAAGCTTGACAAACGTTTTAATCCCCAAATTATCGTAAAGATTTTCTGGTCAATATCAGAATAGTTAAGATTTTCTTAGAAAACCCCAGCAGGCTTTTCTCTCCAACATGGTCCATCAGCACCAACCTGCTGGGTTGGAGACACAAAAGAGTCAGATGGTGAAGTCAGATATGTTAAACAGTTTCAGATGTGGTCGCTGCTCCTGACCCACCCTGACCAGTCCCGGTACTAACTGGGACTCTTGGGTGAGGGTTGGGTGTGTTTGCCCCACGGTATTAGTCTTCATCTAATCAGCTGTCATCAGTGACTGACAGGTCCACCAGGTGGAGCAAAGGCATATAAACCCTGTGTTTAGTTCAGGAAGGCATCCAGCGACTTGCTGCTGCTGCTTGGATTGATCACAACAAGGTAAAACCTGACTTCTATTTATCTGCTGTTATTGGTAGTGATGGATATCCATGTCAGAGGTTTTATATTAGTATGTTAGTGTGGATTTCCTTCCTGAACACTAAAATAACACATTTTACCCAGATGGTGTCAGGTCTTCTCTTCCTGTTGCTCCTCGGAAACGTAAGTTTGCAGACGTCCTTGTGTAGTTCTTTGGCTGCAATTATTTTCTCAATTATGACCTGATGAGAAACAGTCTCTGAACCAGTGAAATGTGTTCAAAACAAAGCAGAAATATCAGTTGACGTTTGATCCTTTTGCTGAGAAATGTTATCAATCAATCAATCAATCAATCAAAGCTTTATTTATAAAGCGCCTTCCGCAACCCTGTCAGGAAGCCCAAAGCGCTGAACATGGTACAGTTGTAAGTAATTATACTGAATAAATCAACAATAAAAGAAATTCAAATTACAAAATACAAAATGGAAATAACAAGATAGATGAAACATTCCGGTAAAATACAAATGTGTGAAACACAATTGGATTGAGTGGATGGATTGAGTGTACCAATGAAAACTGTGGAATGGATTCAACATAATAGAGGGCCATAATCAAACATGTTCTGGAAACGCCAAGCGGAGGAGGTGTGTTTTTAGGTGATTCTTAAAGACTGGCAGAGATGGGGACAGCCTAACTGAGGGTGGCAACTGGTTCCAGAGTAACGGTGCTAGGACTGAGAAAGCCCGGTCCCCACGGGTACGACACCTAGACCGAGGGACAGCGAGCAGGCCTTGGTCAGAGGAGCGCAGAGCGCGTGATGGGGAATGTCTGTTTAGGAGTGTGGCCAGATAGGGGGGAGCACCACCCTGGAAGAAATGATAAACAAAGACGAGTATTTTGAATTGTGAGCGATAGGAAATCGGAAGCCAGTGCAGGGAGGCCAGAACTGGACTGATGTGGTCCCGTTTCCTGGTCCCAGTCAGGAACCTGGCAGTAGGGCTGCAACAAACGATTATTTGGATAATCGATTAATCGGATGGGGTCTCGACACGATTAATCGATTAATCGGATTACATGGGGAAATTTTTAAAAACTGCTAGGGAAACGTTATTTCTCTCCTTCCTTCACTTTATTTAACACAACATTATTAGAAAACAGTTCAATAGCAGAAAAACAACATGCCATCACCTAAATTGTCTTATAAGGTGTATAGACAGAGACCCTAAGCTACATCTATCTGTGACCTAAAATGCTTGGTCCAAGTTAAACAGCTTAAGGGCAATTCTCATCTGTTTTGTTTGATCTCATCTGTTGACATTTATTTTAAATGTAATTAAACATAGGCTGTGAATTTATCAAAATTGATCACTATTTCCAAAAATGACTGAAAAAATACCAAATAAAACAAAAGTAAATGAATGCCATCCTCCTTGCGATGATGCCCTGGGCAACTGCCATAAAGTCACATCAAGAAATGCTGCTGATCATTCCAATGATCCCAAATAGACTCACATTAGGCCACATGAAAGCAACTGAACCCAAAAATATATTAGCCAGTATATAACTGCACTCTCACACAACACGCCTGCAGCAACAGTTAGGACTCCTCCCTCCCTTTTAAAAGCGTTTTTGCTTCTGAGGACATTGTGGTTGTAAAACCACATGCTAGTAGTCTGGCCCCGGTGTGATCAACCAGTTTCTGCGGGAATGTGACGGCGGAACCAGGGCCAGATTAACACTTTGTTGTACCCTGGGCAACAATATTCAAGGGCTCCATCATCACGACCCAAGGATCACCATAATGTGGTCACATACAGAATATTTTACTGTAATATGCAGTAAATATACTCAATACTTGAATGCCTGACAACACGTAACCCGCCCAGAGTAACCTTTGACCCACCTCGTGTGGACTGACCAATGAGGAGAGGGTCTTAACTTGAGGCCCTCTCTTCATTGGTCAGTCTGCATGAGACTGACTCTCAACTGACGTTCAGTCGTAGGCAGCGAAGCGTCTCTGTGCAGTGCAAAAGCCCGGGTGGACAGTTTGTTTAATGTAGGGTGACCATATTTCCATTTCCAAACAAGAGGACAGGGGATCTGTGCCTATGACGTCACACTATGGCAACGCCACACAAACCATGTTGGGACCCATTTTTTGTAAGAACTAAATTAATATCAGATTCTGCCAATTAAACGGCTCTAAAACAATTCATATGTAAATATTTTGCATATTTAATGCAAAATCTAATTTTTCTGCTTTAGTGTTGCAACAAGGTTTTATTAATAATAAATTACTACCTTTTGTTTTACTACAGCATCGGTAAGCTTCCTGTGCACAGATTATTAAGGATGCTTGTTTCAACTGTGAGATTAGACGATAGGATCAATGAAAAAATAAGTTGTCACACACTCCATGGAAACTTTCAGAGAATCCACAAATAGTGGCTTTCAAATGGTTTTGTTACTTTTTGCAAGTTTATAAAATAAGCAGATGAGACAGCATGTCTGATAATTTAGTTTTTCATCTGATAATATTAGAGCATGTCAGTAATGTCTGAGGGGCTTTTATAAACACTGTATAACTAACACTACTGGAGAGGGCATGAATTACACAGAGGCTTCTGGGGAGCCCAGTTATTGGGGGGGGGGGGGGGGGGCATTTTGCCTTGGCCCCCAAAATGTCTTGAAACGGCCCTGGGTGTGTGACTGAGTTTTGAAGGTGATCTGAATTGTATCAGATGTATAAATATGACATGTGTATAACTTATTGTTTTTTACTGGTAAAAACGTGTAGTGGAGATAAATCTACCTACATTTTACTTTTCAACACTTTGTTTTGTTTTCTTGTTTTTATTGAACTATTTTCCTGTCCTGTCTGTCTCTCATCTTCCTGCATCTCCTCTTAATTCTCCAGAAAATCTGTTGCCTGGATTCTTACCTTTTCACCTCATCAGTTACTTTTGAGCAGGTCAAAGGGATCTCCTGACCGAAAAGCGCAGAGCGCGTTTTCGATGCTGCGTGAGGTGAAATCACCGCAGCACAGGTGATGAGCTCCGCAGTAGCGCGCTTCAGGCACAAATAAGACAGAAAATAGAGAACATGTGCGGACATGAACGATCGTGTGCTAATTATAGTTTTTTGGTTGCGCCACTTTGAGAATGGACCGTGCGCTGGAAGCAGCTGCCTGGATCGCTGTGCAACAATGCGGAACCGGTTCGCAGCAGCTCAAGTCTGCCGGCTCTCCCTCGCGCTGATCTGCCTGTACCGGCTCTCCCTCACGCTGATCTGCGGCTCTCCCTCGCGCTGATCTGCGGCTCTCCCTCGCGCTGATCTGCGGCTCTCCCTCGCGCTGATCTGCCGGCTCTCTTTCGCGCTGATCTGCGGCTCTCCCTCGCGCTGATCTGCGGCTCTCCCTCGCGCTGATGACTTGCTCTGGTCTGCGCGCAACGGCGGGCGGGAAGGGGGGGCGCTTTTGGAAGAGTTGTGCGACACAACGAATCGATGACGCAATTCGTTGCCAACGCTTTTAGTAATCGATTTTCATCGAATTTATCGATTCGTTGTTGCAGCCCTACCTGGCAGCGCTGTTCTGCACAACCTGTAGGCGACGCAGTGTTGACTGACACAACCCTGCATATAGAGAGTTGCAGTAGTCAAGCCGAGAAATTACAAAGGCATGCAGTACCCGCTCCAGGTGGGCTCTCGACAGCATATGCTTGATTTTAGCAAGGCGGCTCAGGTGAAAGAAACAGGTTATGCATGGAGATGATCCTCCTCATCCTTTATGGTCTCTGATCAGATCAGATCTCATTTCATACCAACAACTAAAAGCTCAGATTTAAAATAAATGACAAAGCTGGCTTATTATACAGCTGTCAGTTCCACCAGTCAGTCCAGTTCATATAGAAATGTTTTTCTACTGGTCACATTTTGTTTCTGACTGTTTATTTTTACCTCAACAGATGTTTTCTGAAGTGTGGTCAATAAGTAGGTGCTTTTCTTACTCTACAGCTGCAGGGTTTTTTTTTTTTTCAGATTAATGCATCACGATTAACTCACTGTTAGTTTTCCATGAATCTATTTAATGTTGACCATGAACAAAACCAACTCTGATTTAATTAATTTTGTCTGACGATTTATTTTTGGAACAGATCATCTCATCATATGTGAGAATTCAGTGGTCCAGCTGAAATGTGGTAAGACTCCCATAATTAATTAGTGCTGACTAACTTCATTGTCAGTAACTGGTCTCCTCTTACTCCCAAAGTTGTCTCATATCTTGCATTTTCTAACTTGCAAAAACATAACTTCCTAAAGAGCGTTACTATTCACACTAGTTTGAGTCACTTTTTCATTACTGTTAAATTCCTGCAGGACAGACGCGAGACCGTGAAACTCAAAGGAATTGAAGAAGCTGAAACATTTCAGAAATGTTGTTCATACATTTGTCTCCCACCTCCACAGCTCTCTGAAGTACTTTTGCTTGTTGCATTTGGCTGTCGGAGAATTCACTGGGCTAAAACTTCTGTACTTGACCTTTTATCTCAGGTCGAGGAAAGAAGATTCATGTGAGATCTGCTGACTATGGACGTCATGATTCCACCACCTGCTCCGCCGGACGTCCTCCATCTCAGCTCCAAAATGTTTCTTGCTCCACTCTCAGCAGTGTTGTTGCACACAAGTACTGTTTATTTCTTTTTCTTTAAACTACAAGATTAGAGCATGGATAAACCTTTAATCTGTTGATTTCTCATGTTGCTCTTCGTCCACAGCTGTAACGGGCATCGCAGCTGTAGCATCACAGCCAGTAACTCTGTGTTTGGAGATCCCTGCCCAGGAACTTACAAGTACCTGGACGTAGCCTTCAGCTGTCGCTGTGAGTAAACACCAATTTAACCCTGAAGTTTTGTGTCATAAAATTCTTCTGTGCTAAGGAACCAACTTGATTTATGTTTTTCTTCTCAGAGTTTGATTCTTAAATATCTGAATCATTGGTGGCCCTTTCCTGAAGGCATGAAGTTTTTTAAAGACCAAATTTGAGTCTGAAAAGCATCATTGAAATGAATTAATCTGTGATTGTTGATTTAATTAGATCAATAAAGAAAATTAATTCATCTCTTCACATAGTTTTTCTTCGTGATTTTATTTTCCCTCTGAAATATTAGATGTAACGGTGCATTGTTTCCTTTTTCAAGGAGCGTTTTTTGCCACATTGCTTAAAACGTTCTTCATATACTGATAACAACCAATATAAATGAATGTTTTGGATTTAACCAGGTGGAAAAAACACGAAATATTTATTGTGAATCCAGACTTTTTTATTTGAAGTATTACTGGTGGAAAATCCCATCCAATCATTGTGCTGGCGCCTGTTCTCATTTTTTTAAATTAACCTTCAACTTTCTGACTGGGTTCAAATAACTGCACCATAAGCTCAATTATGATATGAATCAATCAATGAGAAAATTAAACAATGTTTCTTCTCACAAGCCCTGAGCTCCCAATTGGTTAGCCCAGGTTTCCGCTATCCAGGAAAAAATATTGGTTCAATATCATAAATTACAAAAATGAAACCACAGCATAAAGGCCAGAGACACTTGAGTCCACAAGAGGCTTCAGGAACTCACAAAAACCATATCCACTCCCAGTATCCAAGACAACACACAAATGGATAGACCAAGAGAGAGACAGAATACACCACTCTTTGTCAAAATTTTGACAGTTTTATTGCTTTATGACCTCTTACGACCCTTTATGCACATAGGAGCTATGTTGTCTGGGGCACTTTGTGCCCCTGGTAGAGTCTCCCATGACAAATTGGTCTTAGGTGAAGGGTGAGACAAAGAACGGTTCACAGGATCTTTCATGGAAGTAAATTCAAAGAGTCGGAGTACCCGGCCTGGAGGGTTACCGGGGTCCCACCCTAGAGCCAGGCCTGGGGTTGGGGCCCGTGAGCGAGCGCCGCAGGCTTTCGCCCATGGGGCCCGGCCGGGCCCAGCCCAAACCGGATACATGGGCTCATCCAACTGTTGACCCACCACCCGCAGGCAGAGCCGGATTAACGCAAAGGCAAAGTAGGCAAGTGCCTAGGGCCTGATTGGCTGGATGGGGCCCAGACAGAGGAACAAAATTAAAACTAAATAAATTAAAAATTAAATGTACAAATGTCCTATGAAAGAATTTGTAGATAGGACTCATATCTACAATTTATTTCAATATTTACTAATTAACTAAAAATAGTGACAATGTTTATTTTAACCATAGACCGTTTCATTGGCTACGTCACATTAAGGCACTACCCAATTAAGGACGTCAGTGAAGCGGTCAGAGTCAGAGCGGGACACAACAAAGTTAGCAGGTGTTTTTGAGTAGGCTAACTTTCACGATGCTTTTGGGTGCGGCAAAACGTTAAAAAAAATAAATGAAGAGGAAGAAAAGAAGAGACAGCGGGGGGGCTTTACAGAAGCTTCTGTCGGGCTGTTCGGGCAGCCGTCCGACAGCTGTGAATCTGCTCGAGTCAGCAGAGGTCGGGCCCAAGTCAGAACCGGAGGAGACACGACCCGAAGACGTGGTGGAAGATGCGGCGGAAGAAGCTGTAGCACCAACGCCGTCAACATCAACGCCTTCACAGAAGGACGAACTGGAAGAACAGCAGCCAGCCACAAGTGAGCCCAATATAGTCTTACAGGTGTAGCGTTCTGAACATGCTATTTTCTGCCCTTAACAGCTGCCCTTTTCCACAGTAACAGTGTGCATGAATTGCCATGGTCGTGCACTTGCTTTGGTGTTTACATTCCAGGAGAGAAGACAGAAGAAGGACGAAGAACGCTTTTCATTAATTAATCAAAGAACTTTATTTCTAATAAAGCTAATCAAAACAACTGTTAGTCAATAATAATCAGGTGACTGATCTGTGAAATCAATGTAATGATTTATGTGTTTATTGAATAACAGGACTAACTATGCCAGACATTCTGATTCACATAAGGTAAACATCATGACACATTGTTCGCTCATTCCAATCAGAACCTCCGGTCTGTTGCAGGGCAGAGTTCTGTAGTGTTTATTTAATCTGTCCACTCCGATTGGCTAAGAATTATAAACAACTAAGTTAATAAAACAGAGCAACGCCATTTTAACTTCAGTTCCATCTGAGTTCCATCTGAGCTCCATCAGAGATTCAACGTAGCTCCAACCAGCTCTCAAAACCATCATCGCTAAGTGAATTGCAGACTGGCCAGCTGCATTTTCTACTTTTAAGCTGAGAACTGTCAAGCTGGAAAATTCTGTCGTTTATCAACAAGACGACGGTTCCTTCAGAATAAAAGCTGAACTCTCGGTGACGCTGACCGTCACCGAGAGCTATCCGTAGACGGGTTTTGTCGTGCTGCTGCACTGTTTCATCAGTTCCAGTACCAAGGAGGTTCGAGGACCTGACATTCCTGATCTGACCACGGGAGTCTCCTACACGGTACATAGATTCGGCAAGATGGCATTTCATGTTACTTCCTCCTGAAGCCCTCGTGGTTCGTAGTCAAAACATCTGACACCCAGATCCGCCTGCCTCAGCTGGAGATTCTGAACTGACACACACACACACACACCAACACCTCAACATTCAAATCCATATGCATCCATCATATAGAGTTAGTCCTGGTGATTGTTTGAATTTATAATGATAGAAATTAAAGATTCTCAAATGATCCCAACTCTCTCTTTTCTTGTCTCTAAGTCAATACAAAGTGTTTGAATAAAACTCCCTGAAGTAAAAACAACCTCTTCTGATTATAAGGGCCCAGTTCATAGATTAATCTCTGGACGTAATAAAAGTGTAAAGAATATATCAACTATATTCCGCTACACAGGAGCCACTAGACACAGAAGGAGAATGAACAACTAGCTACCCATCTGATCCTGCAAAGTGGTACCAAACTGATGGCACGATGCGTGAGTACTTTGCACTAAACCATCCCTCTCAAAATATTGGATATCTCTCTGCATCACAGAGGAAATCTGGAGACATAAACCGAAGCTTAACCAAGGAACATTTCTTTAGACGTGTTGCTGCTGTGACTGAGGCCTGTGGTTTGTTCAGAGATTCTGAGTTTGTTCAGAGATTCTGAGTGATGAGCATGCGCTGACGGCCGATCACCGGACACAGCAGCGTTTGAAGCTGATGGCAGCTCGTTAGCAAACATCCACAAGCAATTTAGATGCATTTTTGCCTAATTTAACTACTGACAACGAAAAAATAATCTGGTAAGTATAACTCACTCAATCTGGAGGTAAGTGAAGGAAATTTAGAAAGTTTGTCAAATTATATTGACAAAGTTTTTGAAGTTTTCGTCATGGTCCGAAGAAATCAGCAGCTGAGGCTGAAACACCTGGGATCAAGAGGAGCCGTCCTCAGGACTCGCCTGAGGCCTCATCTCCCCAGAAGGACGTATTAGAATTATTAGATTCTATTAATAAACGGCTTCTGGGATTTGAGGGGCGACTTCATCTGCTTGAGGTTCTACACCAGGAGTTTCAGAACCTCCAAACATCTCTGGAATTCAGTCAGGAGCAGGTTGAGCGGCTCGCTGCTGAGAACGCGTTTCTGCGGGAGTCCATTTCTTCCCTGGAAGAGGGAATGACGCGGATCGCCCAGGACAACGAGATTCTGAAAGAGACGGTTTTGGACCTTCAGGCCCGCAGCATGAGGGATAATCTGGTGTTCGCAGGCCTGCCGGAGCAGACGGGAGGGGCGGAGAACTGCGAGCAAACAATAAAGAACTTTCTCCAGACCAAAATGAAGATACCCGAAGAAACGGTAAAAAACATCACCTTTCACCGGGTACATCGCCTTGGAGCTAAAAGAGGGGACAGCAGAAGACCTCGTCCCATCGTGGCTAAATTTGAACATTTTAAGCAGAAGGATCTTGTTAAAAGTCACGGAAGAGAGCTCAAAGGGAAAGATTTCAGCGTCAACGATCAGTTCCCTAAGGAAATTCTGGATCGGCGCCGAGTCCTCTTTCCGCTGCGCAACAAGTTTATCCAGGATGGGAAGAGAGCTGTCATCTCGGTGGATAAGCTTTATGTGGACAATAAGCTTTACAAGGAGCGAGGAGTGACTGACTGGCTGTAATAGCCCAACATCAGGTCAGACATTTACTATTCTTATCAGGATTCACTGGGTTTGAGCACGTCAGGATTAAACAGCTGCTAAATCCGTATTGTTGATGATAAGATCACCTGTTAATCACCACTTCACACCCCTATCACCTTTTCTTTTTAGTTCTCTCTTCTTTTTTAACCTGTATCTGTATTTTCCTTTCCTTTTTACCTGCTTCTGCACCTTTACACCTGTATGGCACAACCACACAACTTTCCAACACTGCATCAGACTCGACACACACACACATACACGCGCGCGCACGCACACACACACACGCACGCACACGCACACACATAGATATATTAAATTCACAGCACAATATCATAACTTATGCGTCAAATAATACAACCACAAACACTGTTGGATCTTTATTATTATTAGTATTATTTACTTTTCTGTTATTTATTAACATACTATTTTATACATTTAGATACTTATTCCATCTTATTCACATGAAGGCACAGTGGCGGCTGGTGAAAAATATTTTTGGTGGGGCTGTGCTATTTTTTAAAAAACAAACTTGTGCTTTCTGAGCTTTGTGCACAACTTCACTATTTCCTGAATTAAGCACAGCTCTTTTATTTCCTGTCTTACATCATTGGACAAACTGATTAATCCAGGTGTGTCTGACCATTGGCACGCTGCCTTGCAGACCAAGGTTGAAAAATACTGCATTAAATTGCACATAAAATAACATGACCATAAATGGTAAATAGGCAATGCAAGAGGCAAGTAACAAAAACATTTTGTTTAATTTCAACATTTGAGTGAACACCAAAAATTATGAGCAGGTCACTGTTACAGTAATGGTAGTAAACACTACTTAGACAAAATGCCAGAAATTTACACTGTTAGGACTTATGGAAAGTGGAAACACTTTCATAGGAAATAATGTCATCAGTACCCTCTTACAAATGTCATATTTCCCACTTCCCAAGCTGGGAAATTTGTTTGCTGCAGCAGAA